AAGAGTTTGCTTTTTTGTTTGTTTGTTTGAACGCGCTAATCTCCGTAACTACAAGTCTGATTTGAATAATGATTTTTGTGTTGGATAGTGCATTTATCGAGGATGGCTATAGGCTATAAAACATCACGCTACGACTAATAGGAGCTGAGCAGAGCGTGTGAACCGTAGCTAGTTACTATATAAAGCTGAAAATTTTGTTTGTTTGATTGTTTGTTTGTTTGTTTGCTTGAACGCGCTAATCACAGGAACTACCAGTCCGTTTTCAATCATTCTTGTTCTGTTGGATAGTCCATTTATCGAGGAAGGTTATAGGCTACAAAACAGTATCCTCACTCACACGATGAAACACAACGCTAGCGTTGTTTCACGTCAGTTTTCTGCTCGGCCGTGGTATCACTCCGGTCGAGCCAGCTTCGTGCTCTCCCACATTTAAATATAATATATTAGCTTCTTTACGTGAAAATCTCTATAATCTTCTACAACTCAATCCCTAAATCAGACTACAATAGGGCACAGGTATACCAAAGTTCATTGTACGTATAAATCACCACAATGATTTTGACAGTCATTGAATGAATATACAGTGTCGTTTAACATCGCCCCAACGATTTGCAAATTAGTTCACGGACATAATTCACGTTGACGTGCAAACACGGTTATCAAGCTATACATAACTAATATATCATGGTCTGGCTTTGTATGATCTTTCTGCACATTTGAAGGCCAGTTTATAGAGGTACTTGTTGTCATAGTCTGATGTGTAATAAACTGCTTTGATTGATTCAAGGGGAGTAGTCGTATGTACGTGATATGTAGCCCGTCTTTTGTGATTGAGAGGGTCAAATAGATTAGAGGAGGATATCTATCTTATTTTTAGCAAAGGATTATGATTGGTTATTTTTAGAAATATTGTAATTTATGATCCGAAAGAGGAATTGTCATTATCCACAGTCCGTGATAGACCTGTTTTTTTATGGCATAACCCAGTAAACGAGCCGACGGATGACCTGATGGTAAGCAATCGGCGTCGCCCATGGACACCTGGAACACCAGAGGCGTTACAAGTGCGTTACCGGCCTTTTGGGGATTAGGAGTTTGAGGATCGTTGGCGATTCAGGGATTGGGGAGATCGGGGAAGGGGAGGGTAATTGAGCCTCCGGTAACATCACTCACACGACGAAACACAACGCAAGCGTTGCTTCACGTCGGTTTTCTGTGAGGCCGTGGTATCAGTCTGGTCGAGCCGGCCTATTTGTGCCGAAGCATGGCTCTCCCACAATTGGATTGTGTGTTGGATTATGTGTCTTCTCTTCATAATAGAGTTTGCCATAATCAGAAGCTTGGGCAGGCGGATAGGCGATGACAGTTTATAAAGTTATAGAGAGTACTGTTGCGCAGTCTCTGTCAAATTTGAGTAGGCGGAGCCGCGGACGACTTAACGGGTTGCTGGGGCTCCGGCTCAAAGAGCAGGAGTTGGAACGGGGTGGTTTTTAGTCAGTAAGAGTCTGATACTCATTCCCGCTTCACCCGGGCGGGAGAAATCATTCGATGATTTTCCACCCTGAAATAAAGGGTCCTATGACACCAGCCAGGAAGCAGATGTGGACAAATTTATTCTGACTTATATAACTCTATCATCGTCACTTGACTCAAATGTATCCTTGCTTATTTCTGTAGCAAATAATGGACTGCCTCGTTGGCCAAGTGGTCGCAAGTGCGACTGCCGGGCAAGGGGTCTTGGGTTCGATTCCCGGGTCGATCAAAGTATTACTGGGTTTTAAAAAATTCTCAGTGGTAGCACGGAGTCTGGAATTGTGCCTGGTATATGGCAATAAGCTCACCCCCTATTACATGGGACTCATAACATAAAATAGCGAAAAGTTGGTGTTACATAGTACAGTAGCATTAAGTGCCATACTGTACACCTCTGCCTTCCCTTTCGGGGAAGAAAGGCGTGATGTTATGTATGTTATGAATAATAGACATTAAGTTATGAATTTATATAGATAAGAACTAAGTATATAGGTAAATCAAAGTACCTATATAATCACATTATCATGAGTATAAATAAAATTTTCTATTACCAGTCGTTTAAATAAATATCAACAGGAAAATGATACCGTTCCAGTTTTATTATTGACAGCACTTCGTAAACAATAAACATAAATATTATTTAACCCTGGTGCTCATCAGTTGAAACTACTGGAATTATTTCTTAAACCGGATATAAATAAGGAAGTTAGGTAATACAATTTAATATCATCGAAAGGGTAGGCTGAGTCGCGGAGAACCTAACGGGTTACCGGGGCTCCGGCTCGACGTGCAGGAGAAGGAACGGGGTGGTTTTTAATCAGGAAGAGTCTGACACTCCCTCCCGCCTCCCCCAGGCGGGAGCAGTCATTCGATGATTTTCCCCCCTTAAAAAAAAGGCGGGAGCAGTCATTCGATGATTTTCCCCCCATAAGAAAAGGGTAGGCTGAGAGGTAGGATTCGTAATCTTATACAGTGTTTTGATGGCTTACAGTCAAAATCTAGTCACTGCGAAATATCTACGTAACTTTTCAGAAGGCACAAAAATTGCAAGATTTTACGGAGCGCAGGTTCTTGTAAAATATTGTCCTTTAGAAAACCAAATTACGACTTTTCGACGGCAGAAAAATAAAGCTATTTAAACAAACTCCCGAGACGTTCCTACTTAGTACCTACCTACTTGATAATTGTTGAAAAGTGAGTGTTTTTAAGCCAGCCCTTTTGTATAACTAAACGCTTAACGTAATTGCAAAAACGGTCAGTTTTGCATTGTTTATGCACCCCTACCGTATAAAGTAGAAGTTGCGGTGGCCTTGTGTGTATTTATAGACACGGGCCTGCGCATACGCAATTGCAGTGCACCGAGTTCCCGCAAGGAAGAGGTTTTGTTTTATTTGTCACTGTAAATGTTATGCGATTTAGTTAACATCACGGAATTACATTTAATTGTGTGTATGGACTAGGCACAGTTACTTGACTAAATGAAAATTTTAATATTTCTTTTGGTTATTTATTTATTTATTAGGTTAACCAACAGTTATTTACCCTCATACATTCATTACATCATTACAAATAATACTTTGGCAAGTGTAACAACTACTTACAGGCTAACACAGCATGCACATAAAACGGTTAGAATATGTTACATAAAAAAAATTATAACATTCGAATAAGATCAAGCAACATAACATAAAAGTTGCGATCAATTAATTAAATTAAATATGGGATTAAATTCAATCAAATCAAATTTGAAATTCATTAGAGTCGATATGTGTAGGATAACAACCAAGACAACAAGTTATGTCATGTTAGGTATTTATTTGTTTCATGTATCATCAGGTAGTTACATAATAAAGGGACAAGCTATAGGTACCTACATCTGGTAGAACATCGACTTCCAGATCGTATTCTAGATGATTGAACAGAACTTCTAACACGCGTCCTCTCATTTTCTTTAAATCATTGGGAGTCAGTTTAAATGTTTTAGGAGTTAGAATGGAATTTGTCCAATGCCAGTTAAACGTTATTTAAGAAGTAACTTTCAATATTTGACTATTCTTCCATACTAGAAACTGTCAACTGTCAAATTAATCTACAGTTAAGAATTAACTGATCATTGAAAAATCGGTCCTTAAGCACTCCAAAATGCCGCGGAGGACTCAACGAAGGGTCGGAGTAGGAACGGGGTGGTTTTTAGTCAGTAAGAGTATGACACTCCTTCCTGCCTCATCCAGGCGGGAGCAGTCATTCGATAATTTACCCTACTTAAAAAAAGCACTTAAAATAGTTATTACAATAAGCTGTAGAGCGACTTCACTATACCTAGCCATTGAATATCATAAAATATTTAAATTAAAGAAATATTTTAACAATTCAGAAAAAATGTATTTATTGTTTTTACTAATGCAGTTAGCGTTAGTAGCCAAATGTCACAAAGCGCTGCAAGTTGCGCATGCGCGGCTGCTATGCATAATGCGGTCAATGATCTCGATTTATCGGTTTGCAATGTGTGTATCTACTGTGTGAATATACTAAGTTATATTAAGTTATGTATGTCAAGTAATATAATATCGAATGATAGTTTGAAGGTAGCTGATGATGCTGTGATGTGATGACATCAGATAGAGTATGAAAGAGACGTCAGATAGAAGATGATAGAGGATGCAATAAAATTTGAATTTGAATATGAGAGGATGGAAGAAGATAATTAAGTTAGTGAGTGTCCGATAGACAGTACTAAGTTGTAACTATTTGTGAAGTTTTCATCATCGTACCACAAGCGAAGCGTCTCAGGCGAAGCGTCACCGATTCATGGTAGATGTCCTACACATACACGAAGCGCATCAAGCTTCCTTGTGCGTACTGCTAAGGAGTGGATTTTTTTACCAGAGTTTGTGTTTCTGAAGGTTATAAATGTTATAATGCTTATGGGCTGACGTGCTCCATCGTAGACCGCATCATCGCTTACCACCAGGCGATATAGTGGTCGAACGTCAGCCCATCAAATAAAAAAAAAACGATGAAGTGACTTCGGGAAATGTAGGACCGGCGAAGATTAAAAAAATCCAATGATAATTAGTGCTTTATATCCAAATAAAAAGAGAATATCGATCGAGTTTTATTGTATTAAAAACTTGTACATTAGCGTTTTATTAGGTCTGTTAGTTAAGAAGTAGGTACTATAGGTACAAAGGCATACGTTCGATGCTTTTGTTTTTTTTTTAAGGTTGGAAAATCATCGAATGACTGCTCCCGCCTGGGTGAGGCGGGAGGGAGTGTCAGACTCTTATTGACTAAAAACCACCCCGTTCCTTCTCCTGCACGTCGAGTCGGAGCCCCGGTTACCCGTTAGGTTCTCCGCGACACGCTCGATGCTTAGAGACATATCTTGCCAATATTCTGTCTAGCCATTTAATAAGAACATCAGCCAACACCGACACAATTTTTATACCATTTTTCCTCCTTTCCAGTTAATCCACACGAAACCAGCGTGTAATGGCAGCGTATGCTACTTAGCAGATCTCCCCCGAGACAGTGAACTCCGATCAGACAGAGGATCCGCACTCCGGAGGTACAGCAAGCACCACGGACGTCCCGAGGAGGACCGGCGGAAACAGTCTGATAGCGACTCCGATTCGGATTCTGATACAGAATGCAAGGGATATGATCGAGTAAGCATTAGCCACGATTCTATTTTGTCTAAATATCGAAGGCATTCCTTTTTGTGCCATTAACGGTTTAAATATTTCTGGTTCCTGTTAAAAATAGGGAGCTGTGGAAATTACCTTTTACATTTCTTAATGAAACCTAACTATTTTTGTTGAGGGATCCGAGATTCAGGTACCCTTGGATCCTCGCTAGACTTACATGTTTCCGTGCTTTTATGTTCTTGACAGCAGATTCTGGCTCAAAAAACCTACTACCTACATTACATAAATGGTGATGGTAGCAATCAGGTGCCACAATTATACCCATCGAAGCTTCAAATAGTGACAAGCTAATATTAAGTCCTTTTGACCATTTCAGACGGAGTTCTGGCGTCGTAAGATGCGCACAGTTCACAACATCCTGGACGTGGACAAGGATGGTCTGATCTCATTCAACGACTTCATACTCTTTGCTGAGCGGTTCAAGTCTCTAGGACATCTCACGAACCAGCAGGCGGAGGAATTCACCAGTATTATCAAGGTAAATATATATAATACTAGCTTTTACCCGCGGCTTCGCTCGCGTCACAAAAGGAAAAAAAGTAGCCTGTGACATAATAATATACCAATAAACACAGCGCCATCTATACCAATACTTTTGTTTTCCCTCGAGAATATCAATTTTTTTCCGGGATAAAAAGTACCCTATTATTTAATCCGGACTTCTAACTTTACGTCTGCAAAAATTCAAAGCAATCGGTTTAGTAGTTACGGCGTGAAAGCGGAACAAACAAACAAACTCACTTTCCGATTTATAATATTAGTAAGGATGGATCGGATGGATATTAGATGGTAGAAAGTCCTTAATTTATTTATTCTCTTTAGTCAAGTAAGTGTTTAAAAAGTGATTGCTGAACTGCTGAAGCGATCAACAGATAAATATCTATTAGTTTTTTCAGCCACCATATTTTTGTAAATAAATTATTATGTTTTCGGCTTACTCCCGTAATAATTTGACGAGGAACTCGACTGGTTTCAAACCATGCTAGAGGCTCATATTCATGAGCATCATTTCGACGGCGACTGTCGCGCTGCTACTGAAGTACTGAAGTAGCAAGCATGGCTTGAAACTAGTCGAGTTCCTCGTCAAATTATTACGTGAGTAAGCCGAAAACTTAATAATTTATTTAGTATGTCTCACGAAAGTTACAATACATATTTTTGTAGTTGGATTAAGATAAAAAGATAAAGATTAAAACTTGATCCCAAAAGGAATGTCAGATTCGGAAAGACACCACGATCTACGTGGTATTTCGAACCCTATTTCCCCAGTGATAGTGATGCGGACGAAATCTTGGCCCGACAGACGGAATTACGTATTTTTCTTGTATCCTTTTTTTATTTGCTTGGCAAAATCCTTTATTAATTTATTATATTAATCTAACAGCTAACATGGGAGGAGCAGTGGGGTGCAATAGACCCGTACAACTTCGTCACAGTGGAACAGTATCTGGAGGACATGCATCATGTACTGAACGACAAGTCGCTGAAGAAGAGGGCGTACCGTTGGCTGCCGTATTTGTTTAAAGTAAGATTCTATGACGCAATCCGCATTAGATTATAGAATAAATAAATGAAGTTTGAAGTGGTGAACTTGCCCAAAATTAGATTTATAAAAGAGCTATCGTCCACGTGATCATAACGAATTTATATACAAAACTTTATAGCTGGTAATCGTATCAATTCACTACATATTGGTGAAATTCTTATTAAATAAATTCGACTTCTCTTGAAACTTGAAAAAATAAAAATAAGTTTTGCGGATTAACGTTTGGCCATTGTCCCCTTTGATGGTAATGTGGCCTTCCGGCTACCCTTAAGCATCTAATCGAATTTATCGAGTTAATAAATAAAACGTTTTTCTGTGAATAACAAATAATATTATTTATTTAACCTTAATATTAATTACTTTTCTAGGCGGTAGATAAGGATAAGTCCGGCTTCATATCAGTCCACGAGTTCAAGCTGTTCTTCAAGTGCTTGGGGCTGGACAATGAGAAGGCAGCTGTCGCCTTCGCAGTCATAGACGTTAACGGGGTAAGCATCATTATAATAACACTAGCGGACCCGACAGACGTTGTCCTGCATATAATATAACAATAATAATATAATAATGGGTATAGATAAATAACCTAGATACCAACTGCAGCGCCATCTGCCGGGCTGATTTGTGAATCTAAACCTTCCCAGATCCCTTTGAACACACACAAAAATTTCATTAAAATCGGTCCTGTCGTTTGAGAGAAGTTCAGTGACATACACACTCACAGAAGAATTATATATATAAAGATTCATAAAGATACATATGGATTACAGATACTTCTCACTTTAACATAATATAGATACACTCACATTATTACAGTCTTGTTTCGTCTCCCATAGGGTTTATTTCGATTATCTACAGGCACTTTTTAAAATACTTGGGAAGTTGCCTGAGTAAAAAATAACACTTATGACCCAAAAACATTGACGTGTTCAGTTGCTATTTCTAATAAGATTTTTATTTATTTATGTACACACATTCAACACAGAGGACAATACATATATAAAAACAGAGTACATAGGCCCCACATATTCCAACTGGAATTTTTCCTGTGGGCCTGTGGCAGGATAAGAAATAACAACACCGAGACAAAGAAATAACAAACAAGATGAAAATCAATTAAAAAAAAAGTAATAATACCGTAGAAACCAATAGAAATAACAACAATAAACAATAAAACAAATTAATATAATACAATTATAATACATGTATATAAATGTAGACAAACAAATCTATATTTCAGGAGGAAAGATAATGTTCTCTCACTTGTCTCTTAAAGATAGAGATTGAGTCCGTTGCTATTCGTAGAAAACTGGCGATTTTGACACTCTTTTCGAATCTCTTTTCGATGTCATAGTACCTACCTTTAATTAATAAATCTTTTCACATTCCTGGAACCAAGAGCCTTTGTTTAACAAGAATTGAAAACGACTAATAAATCTATTGTATTTCTTTTCCCAGGATGGCAAGCTATCACAAAAAGAATTCGTGAAGTTAGGAAAAGAATTCTTCTGCACAGAAGATGAGAAGAAAGTGTCCAAAATGTTCTGGGGACCACTAATCCACTAAGTCATAGGAATATCGCCTTTATTACATAGGAATAAGAGTCATTATTGACTGCAGTTATTTTGTTAGGTTTTTTTAATTATAATTTTAATGTGTATGTGTGGAAAATCAGCTATTTTCATTAAGTTTTTTTATTCTGTTATACATATTGCTGTGAAGGATTAATGATGTTGGAAATAATAAGTGTAGTTCTGCCTACCCCTTAACGGATTATTAAGTTTTAAAATACCATTTTTTATGACTAATAACGTTTACCTATTTTTATCAAGTAAAATTTGTAGAACCGCCTTCTTCGATATTTGACTGTTAAATACATTTCGACTTTTTATACCTAAGCTCATAAGCTTACCTAGTTTTAAGTTATTAATTATAGTTACGGTCTTAAGACGCTAAATATTAATTAATTAGTCATTTCTACTACGCAAAACATTCGTATAGAATGTATAAAAATCACAACAATGAACTGTACTGCAATCTCAATAAATATTTTGAAATTATTGTTTTTTTTATTACCTACCTAATTATAATAAATACAACAATACGTAGCACCCTTTTGACTTTCTTTAAGGTATTGTGACACATTATTTAATATAGCATGCTAAAATATGTTTTTTTTTTATATTTAATGGGGCGACGTTTGACCACTATCTCCCCTGGTCGTAAGCGATGATGCGGCCTACGATGGAGCACGTCTGCCCATAAGCAACCTATTCACTCGGACCTTGAAGACAGCCACGTTAATACCCTTCAGGAAATACAGACTCTGGCAAAGAATTCCACTACTTAGCAGTACTCACAAGGAAGCTTGATGCGAAGCGCTTCGTGCGTGTGGGTGGGACATCTACCATGAATCGGTGACGCTTCGCGGATTGTCTTGTGGTACGATGATGGAAAGGACTAGGGGGAAATCAAGTTGTGCAATTGCCCCGCACACTCACCGAAGCGTATTGAGTATGCTCAAAACTGTTCAAAAATTGAACGAATGTCAATTCCTAAATGAGCATGCTAATTTTGAGCAAGGTTCCGACACATATGCTAATAAGTAACAGGTGCTCAATGAGGCCCTACCGTATTTTTGGTGTCGCGGAGAACCTAACGTGTAATCCGGGCTCCTGCTCGACGTGCAGGAGAAGGAACGGGGTGGTTTTTAGTCAGTAAGAGTCTGACACTCCCTCCCGCCTCGCCCAGGCGGGAGCAGTCATTCGATGATTTTCCCCCCTTAAAACAAAAAACCGTATTTTTGGTCAACAATAGTGAATAGCGCTAGTGTGAACCTCTCGTTCTTCGTCCAACAGGGAATAGGGCAGTAGACAGTGTATGAAAATTAAAAATCTTATTAGTCCGTCATTGTCAGTTAGATAATGAAAAAATATTAGACAATTTTTATTTTTATTTTGTCGTATAAGAAAATAATATTTAGGTAGATAAAACGGAGTCAAGTTTAGGAGTGGAAGGTCGTTACGTAACGCTACCCTATAAAATGTAGTAAATCGTGACGTCTCACACGATATTTCAAATCAAGTAGGTAAGAAAAGAAAAAAAGACGTGTCTAATGTTTGAAAATAATGTACTAGACGGACATTAAAATAAAATTTAGGATACTACCCTATTAGCTAGTGTAAAACCATGTAAAACCATAGGACGTTCAATATTCGAGAGCTGCTGTGATTGCACAAAAAATCCGTGTTATATTTGTACCATCTGGGGGCTTACTTCTGCCAATTCCGATCGATCGACATTGGTATTGTGAAACGTAGGTACTTACTCTTGAGTTGTAACACTAGCGCCTATTGCATCTGTGGATATTGAATGAACTAAATGGTATTAGAGAGTATGGTAAACTAAATGGTATTAGGGAGTATGGTAAATGGTAGAGTTTAGCTTTGTATTCCGTACTCTGAATGCAATTTAACAGCTATGATTTTTTTAAGGGGGGAAAATAAAATCATAATTAAAGTCAACGAATTACTTCTCCTGCCGGGGTGAGGCGGGAGGGAGTGTCAGACTCTTACTGACTAAAAACCCCCCGTTCCTTCTCCTGCACGTCGAGCCGGAGCCCCGGTTACCCGTTAGGTTCTTCGCTGCTCCGTGTGCATCGGCCCTATTGGTCCCCATCGGTGGTGGTCTGATGGCTCTTTGAGGCAGAACGCGATGCACGCTAACAGCTACAATAGGGTTTGTAGTTATGCCATTGAATAGTTATTGAGATTTTATTGGACTTTGAGATTGGTTTCAAGAGTAAGCACCGTGGTGAGCAAAAAATACCGTTAGCCTCCATTTGATTGAAGTATGCTTTCGGGCTTGAAATTATTATCAGCATGTGTAACAAACAGTCCTTTTACTTTTGACGAGAATTTTAGAAAAAGAAAAAGTACCTAAATTAGAATTATAGGTAGGTAAAACAGCTTGATTGCTTATTGTCTTGGGACTTGAATAACTCAATTGGAGAGAACAATAACCTTTGAGGAGTAAAGTAAATAATTAAACAAAATTTATCATTATTATATAATTTATTGAAAAACAATAAAAAAGAATCAAAGTCAGTTCTAACAACACACAGACGAATTACAAATTACAAGTTAACAAAGTTTTAACTTCGACGTAAATGTAGGGATGTAGTCTAAACAAATCTATATAAACAAAAAATGTATGTATGTGTATAGTTAACTCTTAAAATCAAGGTACATCTAATAAGCACTGGTCCGGTGCGGTTCCAGCACGGCGTCGCTTCGAATTTGCCGCTAGCCGCCAGGGCGCTTATGGAGCATCGTCTGCTAATTATGTCAAGCGCGCCGCCCGAGCTCCGGCCGCGAGGTAGAATCTTTGTCATCAAAAGTAAGGTACAGTCGCCTAATAAGGCCCACCTAATTTCAAACCTTGTATAATCTTGTAGATAAATAAAGTACGGTAAAATGGGGTGGATAGGGATCGAGAGGTGAATAGGGACAGAAGAGGGGTGAATCGATACTATGAACAATTTCCCAATATCTATTCACCCCTCTTCTGTCTCTATTCACCTCTCGATCCCTATCCACCCCATTTTACGGTACAGAAGAAACATATTGGAGGTTGTAATGTATTTATTTGACAATCAAGATATCGAAAAAAGTAATCATTACTGCATATTTTTTAAATGGCCCGTCTCAGAAAGCGGGCCATCTTTGGCGAATACCTTATTTTTATTTAAGAGAGGAAAATCGTCGAATGGGTGAGGCTGGAAGGTGTCAGACTCTTATTGACTAAAAACTATCCCGTTCCTTCTGCGCTTCGAGCCGGAGCCCCGGTAGCCCGTTAGGTTCTCCGCGACTCATTACGAGTATTGTCGACAATACCTACTTACGATGCGACGTTGTTAACTGGTGCCGTCGCCTCGCGGGCATCTCGACTACCCCCCCGAGTAGACTGCCGTTGGCTTTTTGTATTGACGTTTTGAAATATACCATACGACATACAATTTAAAGCTCATATTTAAATGACAACTTAATTGTTGGGTTGGAGGCGTGCTTATTAGATGTGCGATGAATGAGCTGTATACGACTGCACCTAATTGGACAATACTTATTGAATATAATTTATGTACTCATTTTACAAAGCGTCCACACCATTTTTTCAAGTGTAAAAATGACTATGAAATAATTTTAACAGCTTCACCCGCGTTCTCAATGTGTTAATCTTTTATTTAATTGTTTTGTACATAATGTAACACGTTATTATGACGTAAAATTGAGACAGCACCTAGGCATCTGTATCTTCAATTAGCATAATAATGACTATCGTCTACTTATCACCTTTCACTATGTTTAAAAATACAATATATGAGACGTTGCACTGTGACGTCATAGTACGGCTAATATATTGTTAATATTGTATGGAAAGTGCTTAGACGCATATAATTCGATCAGTTTTGATTGTACGAAAAAACTAAGTATGTATACAGATAAATTTGTAATACCGAGGGCTTCATAATTACACATACCTATTTCTAAAAATGTGAACATTCTCCATTTTTGCCTCGTTGGCCGAATGGTCGTAAGTGCGACTGCCGGGCAAGGGGCCTCGGGTTCGATTCCCGGGTTGGAAAGTATTACTGGTGTTTTTTTATATTCTCAGTAGTAGCACGGAGTCTGGAATTGTGCCCGGTAAATGGCAATAGGCTCACCCCATATTACATGGGACTCATAACATAAATAGTGAAAAGTGGGTATTACATTGTACAGTGGCATTAAGTGCCGTAATGTGCACCTCTACCTACCCCTTCTGGGATAATTGGCGTGATTTTTGTATATCTCCATTTTTGTGTGTTTCATTAGCACAAACTTTTACATTTATTAAGTCAGTAGTAAGATAATACACATTTTACAAGTTTGACACAAAACATCGAATAATTTATAAAAAAAAAATTAGGAATTAAAAAAAAACTTTATTTCAAACAAGTTCATATTTTACACCACAATGAAGAAAAAAATTAACATCAATTTTTAATTTGGGGCAGATATGCATTGTGTACAAAACAAAAAATATAGAATCGAATCGAGACTCCTCTTTGAAGTCTGTTAATAAAGAAATGTCTAAAATCAGGACAATTGACTAAACAAAATGAAAAACATACCTAATTATTAATATTAATAATACTAAACTAAATAATTTAAACAATACTCAGTTGATCTTTCAGTAGTTTCGTTCTTCCATGAGCGTTTTTATTTGACTGGTCCTGAAAATAAAGATGAAAAAATTTAAGTCAATAAATACTATTCTACTCTTACTTAGCCGAGGTTCCAGTGCCTTTAACCAAACGTCACTTTAGCGCTTGTCTACAGAGAGAGAGTAGAACACTAATTTTTTTTTTCTTTAAAGAAACGTTGCCCCACACTAGGATCATCTCCTGTGTCGTGGGTGCGTTTACAAACATACAAGTTCACATACACGTGACACCCAGACGAAACAACAATTTGTGGATCACACAGAGTGTTGCTCCGTGAGGGAATCGAACGGCAGCCGGCATGCAGTCAAAAATTGACCCATGATCAACTTCTAAATTCTCGAAATACCATTGACACACTCGCGACTTCTCTAGTGTTATGGGTGTCTAAGGCAGCGACGATTGTTTCGTGACACTTCGTACATAAAAATTTTTGATACAATTTTACACAAAAAAATAGTTAAGGTAAAACTACTCACTGTTGTTGTAGAATACTGGAGATTGTATTGCTGTGTGATTGGCCCAGAGCTATGTCCTTCTTCTTATACTCCGACTCCCATTTCTCCATCTAAAATTAAGATTAACAATTCCAATATTATTTTGGTAACAAATAAAAGTTCTGGTAAAATTAGTTATATAGTGGTAGTAAGTAAGAAATCACACATTTTTGATTGCTTGGAATTGGGTAGGATTTCAGAATGTCCCCGCAGCGTGTCCCCGCGGCGCGCGTGATAATTATAGATATAGAAGTACCTCCTGCGCCCTGTAGGCGGCGTGTGCCTTGAGTTGCGCGACGTGTCCCCGCAGCGTGTCCCCGCGGCGCGCGTGATAATTATAGATATAGAAGTACCTCCTGCGCCCTGTAGGCGGCGTGTGCCTTGAGTTGCGCGACGTGTCCCCGCAGCGTGTCCCCGCGGCGCGCGTGATAATTATAGATATAGAAGTACCTCCTGCGCCCTGTAGGCGGCGTGTGCTTGAGTTGCGCGACGTGTCCCCGCAGCGTGTCCCCGCGGCGCGCGTGATAATTATAGATATAGAAGTACCTCCTGCGCCCTGTAGGCGGCGTGTGCCTTGAGTTGCGCGACGTGTCCCCGCAGCGTGTCCCCGCGGCGCGCGTGATAATTATAGATATAGAAGTATCCTGCGCCCTGTAGGCGGCGTGTGCCTTGAGTTGCGCGACGTGTCCCCGCAGCGTGTCCCCGCGGCGCGCGTGATAATTATAGATATAGAAGTACCTCCTGCCCTGTAGGCGGCGTGTGCCTTGAGTTGCGCGACGTGTCCCCGCAGCGTGTCCCCGCGGCGCGCGTGATAATTATAGATATAGAAGTACCTCCTGCGCCCTGTAGGCGGCGTGTGCCTTGAGTTGCGCGACGTGTCCCCGCAGCGTGTCCCCGCGGCGCGCGTGATAATTATAGATATAGAAGTACCTCCTGCGCCCTGTAGGCGGCGTGTGCCTTGAGTTGCGCGACGTGTCCCCGCAGCGTGTCCCCGCGGCGCGCGTGATAATTATAGATATAGAAGTACCTCCTGCGCCCTGTAGGCGGCGTGTGCCTTGAGTTGCGCGACGTGTCCCCGCAGCGTGTCCCCGCGGCGCGCGTGATAATTATAGATATAGAAGTACCTCCTGCGCCCTGTAGGCGGCGTGTGCCTTGAGTTGCGCGACGTGTCCCCGCAGCGTGTCCCCGCGGCGCGCGTGATAATTATAGATATAGAAGTACCTTGCGCCCTGTAGGCGGCGTGTGCCTTGAGTTGCGCGACGTGTCCCCGCAGCGTGTCCCGCGGCGCGCGTGATAATTATAGATATAGAAGTACCTCCTGCGCCCTGTAGGCGGCGTGTGCCTTGAGTTGCGCGACGTGTCCCCGCAGCGTGTCCCCGCGGCGCGCGTGATAATTATAGATATAGAAGTACCTCCTGCGCCCTGTAGGCGGCGTGTGCCTTGAGTTGCGCGACGTGTCCCGCAGCGTGTCCCCGCGGCGCGCGTGATAATTATAGATATAGAAGTACCTCCTGCGCCCTGTAGGCGGCGTGTGCCTTGAGTTGCGCGACGTGTCCCCGCAGCGTGTCCCCGCGGCGCGCGTGATAATTATAGATATAGAAGTACCTCCTGCGCCCTGTAGGCGGCGTGTGCCTTGAGTTGCGCGACGTGTCCCCGCAGCGTGTCCCCGCGGCGCGCGTGATAATATAGATATAGAAGTACCTCCTGCGCCCTGTAGGCGGCGTGTGCCTTGAGTTGCGCGACGTGTCCCCGCAGCGTGTCCCCGCGGCGCGCGTGATAATTATAGATATAGAAGTACCTCCTGCGCCCTGTAGGCGGCGTGTGCCTTGAGTTGCGCGACGTGTCCCCGCAGCGTGTCCCCGCGGCGCGCGTGAATTATAGATATAGAAGTACCTCCTGCGCCCTGTAGGCGGCGTGTGCCTTGAGTTGCGCGACGTGTCCCCGCAGCGTGTCCCCGCGGCGCGCGTGATAATTATAGATATAGAAGTACCTCCTGCGCCCTGTAGGCGGCGTGTGCCTTGAGTTGCGCGACGTGTCCCCGCAGCGTGTCCCCGCGGCGCGCGTGATAATTATAGATATAGAAGTACCTCCTGCGCCCTGTAGGCGGCGTGTGCCTTGAGTTGCGCGACGTGTCCCCGCAGCGTGTCCCCGCGGCGCGCGTGATAATTATAGATATAGAAGTACCTCCTGCGCCCTGTAGGCGGCGTGTGCCTTGAGTTGCGCGACGTGTCCCCGCAGCGTGTCCCGCGGCGCGCGTGATAATTATAGATATAGAAGTACCTCCTGCGCCCTGTAGGCGGCGTGTGCCTTGAGTTGCGCGACGTGTCCCCGCAGCGTGTCCCCGCGGCGCGCGTGATAATTATAGATATAGAAGTACCTCCTGCGCCCTGTAGGCGGCGTGTGCCTTGAGTTGCGCGACGTGTCCCCGCAGCGTGTCCCCGCGGCGCGCGTGATAATTATAGATATAGAAGTACCTCCTGCGCCCTGTAGGCGGCGTGTGCCTTGAGTTGCGCGACGTGTCCCCGCAGCGTGTCCCCGCGGCGCGCGTGATAATTATAGATATAGAAGTACCTCCTGCGCCCTGTAGGCGGCGTGTGCCTTGAGTTGCGCGACGTGTCCCCGCAGCGTGTCCCCGCGGCGCGCGTGATAATTATAGATATAGAAGTACCTCCTGCGCCCTGTAGGCGGCGTGTGCCTTGAGTTGCGCGACGTGTCCCCGCAGCGTGTCCCCGCGGCGCGCGTGATAATTATAGATATAGAAGTACCTCCTGCGCCCTGTAGGCGGCGTGTGCCTTGAGTTGCGCGACGTGTCCCCGCAGCGTGTCCCCGCGGCGCGCGTGATAATTATAGATATAGAAGTACCTCCTGCGCCCTGTAGGCGGCGTGTGCCTTGAGTTGCGCGACGTGTCCCCGCAGCGTGTCCCCGCGGCGCGCGTGATAATTATAGATATAGAAGTACCTCCTGCGCCCTGTAGGCGGCGTGTGCCTTGAGTTGCGCGACGTGTCCCCGCAGCGTGTCCCCGCGGCGCGCGTGATAATTATAGATATAGAAGTACCTCCTGCGCCCTGTAGGCGGCGTGTGCCTTGAGTTGCGCGACGTGTCCCCGCAGCGTGTCCCCGCGGCGCGCGTGATAATTATAGATATAGAAGTACCTCCTGCGCCCTGTAGGCGGCTGTGCCTTGAGTGCGCGACGTGTCCCCGCAGCGTGTCCCCGCGGCGCGCGTGATAATTATAGATATAGAAGTACCTCCTGCGCCCTGTAGGCGGCGTGTGCCTTGAGTTGCGCGACGTGTCCCCGCAGCGTGTCCCCCGCGGGCGCGTGATAATTATAGATATAGAAGTACCTCCTGCGCCCTGTAGGCGGCGTGTGCCTTGAGTTGCGCGACGTGTCCCCGCAGCGTGTCCCCGCGGCGCGCGTGATAATTATAGATATAGAAGTACCTCCTGCGCCCTGTAGGCGGCGTGTGCCTTGAGTTGCGCGACGTGTCCCCGCAGCGTGTCCCCGCGGCGCGCGTGATAATTATAGATATAGAAGTACCTCCTGCGCCCTGTAGGCGGCGTGTGCCTTGAGTTGCGCGACGTGTCCCCGCAGCGTGTCCCCGCGGCGCGCGTGATAATTATAGATATAGAAGTACCTCCTGCGCCCTGTAGGCGGCGTGTGCCTTGAGTTGCGCGACGTGTCCCCGCAGCGTGTCCCCGCGGCGCGCGTGATAATTATAGATATAGAAGTACCTCCTGCGCCCTGTAGGCGGCGTGTGCCTTGAGTTGCGCGACGTGTCCCCGCAGCGTGTCCCCGCGGCGCGCGTGATAATTATAGATATAGAAGTACCTCCTGCGCCCTGTAGGCGGCGTGTGCCTTGAGTTGCGCGACGTGTCCCCGCAGCGTGTCCCCGCGGCGCGCGTGATAATTATAGATATAGAAGTACCTCCTGCGCCCTGTAGGCGGCGTGTGCCTTGAGTTGCGCGACGTGTCCCGCAGCGTGTCCCCGCGGCGCGCGTGATAATTATAGATATAGAAGTACCTCCTGCGCCCTGTAGGCGGCGTGTGCCTTGAGTTGCGCGACGTGTCCCCGCAGCGTGTCCCCGCGGCGCGCGTGATAATTATAGATATAGAAGTACCTCCTGCCCTGTAGGGGCGTGTGCCTTGAGTTGCGCGACGTGTCCCCGCAGCGTGCCCCGCGGCGCGCGTGATAATTATAGATATAGAAGTACCTCCTGCGCCCTGTAGGCGGCGTGTGCCTTGAGTTGCGCGACGTGTCCCCGCAGCGTGTCCCCGCGGCGCGCGTGATAATTATAGATATAGAAGTACCTCCTGCGCCCTGTAGGCGGCGTGTGCCTTGAGTTGCGCGACGTGTCCCCGCAGCGTGTCCCCGCGGCGCGCGTGATAATTATAGATATAGAAGTACCTCCTGCGCCCTGTAGGCGGCGTGTGCCTTGAGTTGCGCGACGTGTCCCCGCAGCGTGTCCCCGCGGCGCGCGTGATAATTATAGATATAGAAGTACCTCCTGCGCCCTGTAGGCGGCGTGTGCCTTGAGTTGCGCGACGTGTCCCCGCAGCGTGTCCCCGCGGCGCGCGTGATAATTATAGATATAGAAGTACCTCCTGCGCCCTGTAGGCGGCGTGTGCCTTGAGTTGCGCGACGTGTCCCCGCAGCGTGTCCCGCGGCGCGCGTGATAATTATAGATATAGAAGTACCTCCTGCGCCTTGTAGGCGGCGTGTGCCTTGAGTTGCGCGACGTGTCCCCGCAGCGTGTCCCCGCGGCGCGCGTGATAATTATAGATATAGAAGTACCTCCTGCGCCCTGTAGGCGGCGTGTGCCTTGAGTTGCGCGACGTGTCCCCGCAGCGTGTCCCCGCGGCGCGCGTGATAATTATAGATATAGAAGTACCTCCTGCGCCCTGTAGGCGGCGTGTGCCTTGAGTTGCGCGACGTGTCCCCGCAGCGTGTCCCCGCGGCGCGCGTGATAATTATAGATATGAAGTACCTCCTGCGCCCTGTAGGCGGCGTGTGCCTTGAGTTGCGCGACGTGTCCCCGCAGCGTGTCCCCGCGGCGCGCGTGATAATTATAGATATAGAAGTACCTCCTGCGCCCTGTAGGCGGCGTGTGCCTTGAGTTGCGCGACGTGTCCCCGCAGCGTGTCCCCGCGGCGCGCGTGTAATTATAGATATAGAAGTACCTCCTGCGCCCTGTAGGCGGCGTGTGCCTTGAGTTGCGCGACGTGTCCCCGCAGCGTGTCCCCGCGGCGCGCGTGATAATTATAGATATAGAAGTACCTCCTGCGCCCTGTAGGCGGCGTGTGCCTTGAGTTGCGCGACGTGTCCCCGCAGCGTGTCCCCGCGGCGCGCGTGATAATTATAGATATAGAAGTACCTCCTGCGCCCTGTAGGCGGCGTGTGCCTTGAGTTGCGCGACGTGTCCCCGCAGCGTGTCCCCGCGGCGCGCGTGATAATTATAGATATAGAAGTACCTCCTGCGCCCTGTAGGCGGCGTGTGCCTTGAGTTGCGCGACGTGTCCCCGCAGCGTGTCCCCGCGGCGCGCGTGATAATTATAGATATAGAAGTACCTCCTGCGCCCTGTAGGCGGCGTGTGCCTTGAGTTGCGCGACGTGTCCCCGCAGCGTGTCCCCGCGGCGCGCGTGATAATTATAGATATAGAAGTACCTCCTGCGCCTGTAGGCGGCGTGTGCCTTGAGTTGCGCGACGTGTCCCCGCAGCGTGTCCCGCGGCGCGCGTGATAATTATAGATATAGAAGTACCTCCTGCGCCCTGTAGGCGGCGTGTGCCTTGAGTTGCGCGACGTGTCCCCGCAGCGTGTCCCCGCGGGCGCGTGATAATTATAGATATAGAAGTACCTCCTGCGCCCTGTAGGCGGCGTGTGCCTTGAGTTGCGCGACGTGTCCCCGCAGCGTGTCCCCGCGGCGCGCGTGATAATTATAGATATAGAAGTACCTCCTGCGCCCTGTAGGCGGCGTGTGCCTTGAGTTGCGCGACGTGTCCCGCAGCGTGTCCCCGCGGCGCGCGTGATAATTATAGATATAGAAGTACCTCCTGCGCCCTGTAGGCGGCGTGTGCCTTGAGTTGCGCGACGTGTCCCCGCAGCGTGTCCCCGCGGCGCGCGTGATAATTATAGATATAGAAGTACCTCCTGCGCCCTGTAGGCGGCGTGTGCCTTGAGTTGCGCGACGTGTCCCCGCAGCGTGTCCCCGCGGCGCGCGTGATAATTATAGATATAGAAGTACCTCCTGCGCCCTGTAGGCGGCGTGTGCCTTGAGTTGCGCGACGTGTCCCCGCAGCGTGTCCCCGCGGCGCGCGTGATAATTATAGATATAGAAGTACCTCCTGCGCCCTGTAGGCGGCGTGTGCCTTGAGTTGCGCGACGTGTCCCCGCAGCGTGTCCCCGCGGCGCGCGTGATAATTATAGATATAGAAGTACCTCCTGCGCCCTGTAGGCGGCGTGTGCCTTGAGTTGCGCGACGTGTCCCCGCAGCGTGTCCCCGCGGCGCGCGTGATAATTATAGATATAGAAGTACCTCCTGCGCCCTGTAGGCGGCGTGTGCCTTGAGTTGCGCGACGTGTCCCCGCAGCGTGTCCCCGCGGCGCGCGTGATAATTATAGATATAGAAGTACCTCCTGCGCCCTGTAGGCGGCGTGTGCCTTGAGTTGCGCGACGTGTCCCCGCAGCGTGTCCCCGCGGCGCGCGTGATAATTATAGATATAGAAGTACCTCCTGCGCCCTGTAGGCGGCGTGTGCCTTGAGTTGCGCGACGTGTCCCCGCAGCGTGTCCCCGCGGCGCGCGTGATAATTATAGATATAGAAGTACCTCCTGCGCCCTGTAGGCGGCGTGTGCCTTGAGTTGCGCGACGTGTCCCCGCAGCGTGTCCCCGCGGCGCGCGTGATAATTATAGATATAGAAGTACCTCCTGCGCCCTGTAGGCGGCGTGTGCCTTGAGTTGCGCGACGTGTCCCGCAGCGTGTCCCCGCGGCGCGCGTGATAATTATAGATATAGAAGTACCTCCTGCGCCCTGTAGGCGGCGTGTGCCTTGAGTTGCGCGACGTGTCCCCGCAGCGTGTCCCCGCGGCGCGCGTGATAATTATAGATATAGAAGTACCTCCTGCGCCCTGTAGGCGGCGTGTGCCTTGAGTTGCGCGACGTGTCCCCGCAGCGTGTCCCCGCGGCGCGCGTGATAATTATAGATATAGAAGTACCTCCTGCGCCCTGTAGGCGGCGTGTGCCTTGAGTTGCGCGACGTGTCCCCGCAGCGTGTCCCCGCGGCGCGCGTGATAATTATAGATATAGAAGTACCTCCTGCGCCCTGTAGGCGGCGTGTGCCTTGAGTTGCGCGACGTGTCCCCGCAGCGTGTCCCCGCGGCGCGCGTGATAATTATAGATATAGAAGTACCTGCGCCCTGTAGGCGGCGTGTGCCTTGAGTTGCGCGACGTGTCCCCGCAGCGTGTCCCGCGGCGCGCGTGATAATTATAGATATAGAAGTACCTCCTGCGCCCTGTAGGCGGCGTGTGCCTTGAGTTGCGCGACGTGTCCCCGCAGCGTGTCCCCGCGGCGCGCGTGATAATTATAGATATAGAAGTACCTCCTGCGCCTGTAGGCGGCGTGTGCCTTGAGTTGCGCGACGTGTCCCCGCAGCGTGTCCCCGCGGCGCGCGTGATAATTATAGATATAGAAGTACCTCCTGCGCCCTGTAGGCGGCGTGTGCCTTGAGTTGCGCGACGTGTCCCCGCAGCGTGTCCCCGCGGCGCGCGTGATAATTATAGATATAGAAGTACCTCCTGCGCCCTGTAGGCGGCGTGTGCCTTGAGTTGCGCGACGTGTCCCCGCAGCGTGTCCCCGCGGCGCGCGTGTTGCTGCAGCTCGGCGAGCAGCGCGCGCTCGGCCGGACAGGGCCCGGCCGCCGCACGGCCCGCGCGGACCACGGCGCTGCATCTGTACATACAATAAATAAATAAATAAAATAAAATAAAATAGCCTTATATTTCTTACTAGTTTCCAATATAAAATATCGGTTTTACGTAATAAGATTTCCTTTCCTTTACATCCTTCTCGGTTTTCATTACCGTAGTAAGAACCCGCTTTATTCGAAGATGAAGGCCTCCTCTAGTGCTTTCCATTTGTCCCTGTTCTTGGCGACATCCATCCATTGTTTGCCAGCCACTTGGATTATGTCGTCTGTCCACCGCGCGTATGGTCTGCCTCTTTTTCTCGTGCCTGGCCTGGCCAAGATGTTAGGAGGAAAGTCCACGCGTTATCTGTATACCTAGCTATGTGGCCAGCCTGACGCCATATTAGTTTCATCGAGTGTCCCAACGCGTTTGTGATCTTGGTTTCTTTCCATATGGTTTTGTGAGATATCATTTGGATCTTTCTGATGTTTAGGATTCTTCTCTCCATGCTTCTTTGACATAATCTGACTTTCGTTTTTACTTTGTGTCTGAACATCCAGGTTTGGCACGCGTACGTTAGGGAAGGGAATATACAGCTGTCCAGAACTTTTTGTTTTATTGTTATATGAAAGTTGCTTTTCATGACCTCCTTAAGACAACAGAACTTTTTCCACGCGTTTAAAATTCTTTTTTCCTGTTCGTTTCTTTGTGCGTGAAAAGATATGTGTTTGCCCAGGTAGAAGTATGTGTCAGCATATTCCAGTTGTTCCTTCAAGATAGATTGGGCTCTTTATGTTGTTTGTCATTCATTATGTTCGTTTTATTTCGGTTTATTTCAAGGCCAGTCTGCTTGCTGAGTGCAGATCTTTTGGCTATAAATGCAAGATAGAGCGGTCTACGGAATGAGCATTTCGATAGAATGGATGTGATTAACAGTAGAGAAGCCCTTTTTGAAACCCGCTTGTTCTATGAGTTGGTGTTTTTCGATAGTAATTTTTCAATGTGTTCTAAGATTGAAGAGAATAGTTTATTTTATTTAAAAAAAAAAACGTTGCCCCAAACTAGGATTTTCTCCTGTGTCGTGGGTGCGTTTACAAACATACAATTTCATATACACATGACACCTAGACACGAAACCACAATTTGTGGATCACACTAAGTGTTGTTCCGTGCGGGAATCGAACCCGCGGCACGCTGCGCGGCAGCCGGTTGCCCAGCCACCGCACCAACCGTGCAGTCGCTTGTTATTGCAATATTATTTGGGTCTCCTTTCTTATACAACAATATTATGTCTGACTCGGCCCACTGTCGTGGTGTTGTTCCTTCTGATGACACTAGGTTAAACAGGGGGGTTCTTCCTCATGAGCGTCGCTGTCGGTAGTAGCGCCCTGAGCGCGCCGGCCGCGGACTGCACGAGCGATGGCGTGCGACCATGTACACACGCACGGTACGGTCACCAGCGGCGCGGGTAGTGGGTTCGATTTCGGGTTCTTTTTTCAATATTTTCACGCGATTTTTAGTTAATTTAGTAGGTATTATATCTCACGGTTATTATACAAGCAGTGAAAAATAATTTGGACAAAATAAAAAGTAAATCGATATACCAATACCACATACCTGTATTTCAGATCATCCTGATGTTTCTCAGCCAACATGCACTTTTCCTTGAGGACGGTCGACTGAAGCTGTACTTCATCTATTTCTTTCTGAAATGTTATAAAAAATCATTAGTATATTTGCGTCCTAGAGTTAATAGCATGATCATAGGGTTTACTTTTTATAGTTTGCTTCAATTTAGTTCCTTAAAAAGGTATTCTAGTAATTTATTATGACTGTTATATATGATAGATATGAGAAAGATGAATACAAATCTTCTTCGATAGTAATAAGGCGTATTATCAACGATTGGTTTACAAAATTAATATTTTTGGCGATATATCGTGTGCGCGGTTGTCCAGCGAATTTGGAAGTGAAAGAGGCGCGGTGCGCGGAGCAATTCGGAACTAAAATCGTAACGTCATCTCGTAATCATCAGTAAGAGTCTGACACTCCCTCCCGCCTCACCCACGCGGGAGGAGTCATTCGATGGTTTTCCCCCCACAGTGACATTGCTGGTATGGAGCCGTGACCCTAATTAACCCTGGCCAGTAAATAATTACAACTAATAAGGTATGAGTATAGTGGGACCTGTAAGTCCCGCAGCCAGTCCCGGTGCTGGTCCCCGAGCGCCCGCAGCGCCTGCAGCTTGCGGCCGATGGCGTCGCAGGCTCGCTGCTGCCGGGACATGTACTCGCCGCGGAGCTTCAGGGTCGCCTGGCTTAGGAACTGGAATCATATTCAAGTAACTTTATATAATAATAATAATAAAATCGTTTATTAAACACAAAAAATTCAAAGATGTAACAGTAGTCTAATTATTATACAATTATGGTAAATTATAAATACTAAAAAATTATAGAAAACAACTTAAATCAAAGATAAATTAAGGATGAGTACAATTAGGTATTTTTTTTTAACTGTAGCGTCCCGTTAAAAGTAACTTTATAATTTTTTTTAAAACGTTAGTAGATGGTGCTGACAGCAATAAAACGTAGCACTGAATTATGATGTTTCCAATTAGTCAAATACAATGCAAAAAGACAATTTTATACAAAAAGCGGCTTTTAATGTTGTAACGCTTCTAGTGTTCCAGGTGTCAATGGGCGACGCCGATTGCTTACCATCAGATGATCCGTCTGCTCGTTTACCGACTTCTCCCATGATAAAACACATTTGACGACAATTTGCATATTTATCATCAAAAAAAAAAAAACAAATGCCCCACATTAAGTTTTTCTCTTGTATCGTGGGTGAGTTTACAAACATACAAGTTCACATACACACGACACCTAGACCCGAAACAACAATTTGTGGATTACACAAAGGGTTGCTTCGTGCGGGAATCGAACCCGCTACACGTTGCGCGGCAGCCGGTTGCCCGGCCGCTGCATTAACAGCGCAGTATTAAATTATCTATAAAAATATTGATATATTTTGTTACTTAAAAATATATGTATTGAAAGTTAAAATAATTTATTGTTGACTGCTGATAACATTTAGGTAAATCACCGAAGGTCAAAGATTTAGGCTATTATCAATCTTCGGTAATTCAACCTCATAAGAGTTAGCTATCAACTATATATAAAAATAAGTCGGGTTTTCCTTCCTGACGCTTTAACTCCAGAACGCACGAACCGAGTTCCACGGTTTTGCATTCGTTGGAAAGGTCTCAGCCTCCGTGAGGTTTATAAAATATAAAACCAAAAAAAATTCTTCATCTTTTAATATCCAAACGAAATGTTACATAAAACGAAGCCTACTGGTGGCGAAACAGAGTTCGCCGGATTTGCTAGTTGTAGTAAAAAAAGAATAATAATAATGTTACTGCCTCTACGGCCGAGTGGTCGCAAGTGCGACTGCCGGGCAAGGGGTTTCGGGTTCGATTCCTGGGTCGGGCAAAGTATTACTTTTTTGAGAAATTCTCAGTAGTAGCACGGAGCCTAGAATTGTGCCCGGTATATGTCAATGGGCTCACCCCCTATTACATGAGACTCAAAACATGAATAGTGAAAAGTTTGTACATTGTACAGTGGCATTAAGTGCTGTAATGTGCACCTCTGCCTACCCCCCGCCTATTTATATTGGAGTTTAAGATTGATTTTCTTACTTAAAACCTGCATAGCGGTTATTCAACTGATAAAAAATTAAGGTAAGAATCAATGGAACTGTCTATTAGAAAAACATCAGTAAGTTATTTGAAACCTAAACAGTATCTACTGTCGCGGAGAACCTAACGGGTTACCCGGGCTCCGGCTCGACGTGCAGGAGAAGGAACGGGGTGGTTTTTAGTCAGTAAGAGTCTGACACTCCCTCCCGCCTCACCCAGGCGGGAGCAGTCATTCGATGATTTTGCCCCCTTAAAAAAAACCCCGAGGGATAAAAGGCGTGATGTTATGATGTTATATGTAATAATAATCTTACTTCTAGGCATTGTTTAGGACTGGGCTCCTCTTTCTTACTGATCTGAAGGATGGGCTGAGATACATCCCTCGTGAGAATCTCTTGTATGATGGATGTGAACGACAGCTTCTGCCTCTGCAAGAATATTAAACAAATATTAATTACTATACTATTAATAAAATTAAAACTAGAATTATTAAAGTTAGACAATTATGGGGATACCCGACCAGTTTCGAGATCAGCCGGAGCTCTTAATAATAATTTAGTTAACAAAAATATTAGTAACTCATTGAATCTCGCAAAATTAGCATAGTATTGCTTTACATAGTTTTTTACTCATAAAAAAAAATGGTCGTGGTGGCCCAGAGGTTTTAGACGCCCGCTTCTCATGCACGAGGGTGCCAGTTCGAAACCTACCAATGGCAAGTTACAATGTGACATTTCCGAATTATATGTACTTTCTAAGATTATTTAGACACCACTTACAAACGGTGAAGGAAAACATCGTGAGGAAACCAAGTTTGTAATAAATTGTCAACCCGCATTGTGTAAGCGTGGTGATTAATGCTCAAACCTTCTCTGCGTAAAAAGAGATTTTGCTCAGCAGTGGGTAATTATAGACTGTTGATGATGAAACTAAAAAAAGGCTAAAAAAGGGGTTAAATGACGTGATTTTTGTTCACATACCTCTTTCAGTATATTGTTGATGTCATCCTGTTCCAGTGTCGGGTTCTTGAGCTGCAACTCCTTGTATAACTGTTCTTCAAGATCGAATGGTTCCAATGTTCTGTCGGGGAGAATACATGTATTTAATTGTACTGCACATACATACTTAACATCACGCCTATTATTTCCGAAGGGGTAGGCAGACGTGCACATCCCGCCACTTAATGCCACTGTACAATGTAACAACTACTACTTTTCAATATTTATGTTATGAGTCCCATGTAATTGGGAGTAATCCTTAATGGGGTAGTATATGGCAAACCATATTACGGGCACAATTCCAGACTCCGTGCTACTACTGAGATTTTTTTAAACCCTGTAATACTTTGCTCGACCAGGTAATCGAACCCGAGACCCTTTGCTCGGCAGTCGTACTTGCAACCATTCGACCAACGAGGCAGGTTGTTTGTCTGTGTGTGTTGGTGCGTGGACAAGCGTAAGTGTATGTAGGGTAATATAAGGACGGCCGACCCAATGAACCTCTTTCGTTTCATCTACATTCAGTAATCTCTAGTGCTGAATGAATGTTTCTTCTTTCTTCATGAATGCTTGTCAATAGGACTTACCGTGTTTTTGCTCATCATCATCAAAAATCATTTTTTTAAAGGGAAAAATCATCCAATAACATCTCCCGGCCCGGGTGAGGCGGGAGGGAGTGTCAGACTTTTACTGAGTAAAAACCATCTCGTTCCTACTCCTGCACTTTGAGCCGGAGCCCCGGTAACTTGTTAAGTCTTCCGCGACTCATCACGAGTATTGTCGACAATACCTACTTACGATGCGCCGTTATTTTGTTGGTGGCTACCCCTCGAATGTACTGCCGTTGGCTTTTTGTATTGACGTTATGAAATATACCATACGACATACGATTTAAAGTTCATATTTAAATGACAACTTAATTATTGGGTTGGAGGCGTGCTTATTAGATGTGCGATGAATGAGCTGTATACGACTGCACCAAATTGGACAATACTTATTGAATAGAGTGTCAAGCCATTGGACTATAAATTTTTGACAGCTGCAGTGATTGGACAAAAAATATTTTTCTACACCTGATGAGTAAAACCCGGCATTAGGTGAGGTACCTGGGCAGTAAGGTGGCGGGCTCGACCAGTAGCAGTACCCTCTGCAGCGGCGGCGGAGTGAGCGCGAGGCCGGCCGTATATAGTGAGGTACCTGGGCAGTAAGGTGGCGGGCTCGACCAGTAGCAGTACCCTCTGCAGCGGCGGCGGAGTGAGCGCGAGGCCGGCCGTATATAGTGAGGTACCTGGGCAGTAAGGTGGCGGGCTCGACCAGTAGCAGTACCCTCTGCAGCGGCGGCGGAGTGAGCGCGAGGCCGGCCGTATATAGTGAGGTACCTGGGCAGTAAGGTGGCGGGCTCGACCAGTAGCAGTACCCTCTGCAGCGGCGGCGAGTGAGCGCGAGGCCGGCCGTATATAGTGAGGTACCTGGGCAGTAAGGTGGCGGGCTCGACCAGTAGCAGTACCCTCTGCAGCGGCGGCGGAGTGAGCGCGAGGCCGGCCGTATATAGTGAGGTACCTGGGCAGTAAGGTGGCGGGCTCGACCAGTAGCAGTACCCTCTGCAGCGGCGGCGGAGTGAGCGCGAGGCCGGCCGTATATAGTGAGGTACCTGGGCAGTAAGGTGGCGGGCTCGACCAGTAGCAGTACCCTCTGCAGCGGCGGCGGAGTGAGCGCGAGGCCGGCCGTATATAGTGAGGTACCTGGGCAGTAAGGTGGCGGGCTCGACCAGTAGCAGTACCCTCTGCAGCGGCGGCGGAGTGAGCGCGAGGCCGGCCGTATATAGTGAGGTACCTGGGCAGTAAGGTGGCGGGCTCGACCAGTAGCAGTACCCTCTGCAGCGGCGGCGGAGTGAGCGCGAGGCCGGCCGTATATAGTGAGGTACCTGGGCAGTAAGGTGGCGGGCTCGACCAGTAGCAGTACCCTCTGCAGCGGCGGCGGAGTGAGCGCGAGGCCGGCCGTATATAGTGAGGTACCTGGGCAGTAAGGTGGCGGGCTCGACCAGTAGCAGTACCCTCTGCAGCGGCGGCGGAGTGAGCGCGAGGCCGGCCGTATATAGTGAGGTACCTGGGCAGTAAGGTGGCGGGCTCGACCAGTAGCAGTACCCTCTGCAGCGGCGGCGGAGTGAGCGCGAGGCCGGCCGTATATAGTGAGGTACCTGGGCAGTAAGGTGGCGGGCTCGACCAGTAGCAGTACCCTCTGCAGCGGCGGCGGAGTGAGCGCGAGGCCGGCCGTATATAGTGAGGTACCTGGGCAGTAAGGTGGCGGGCTCGACCAGTAGCAGTACCCTCTGCAGCGGCGGCGGAGTGAGCGCGAGGCCGGCCGTATATAGTGAGGTACCTGGGCAGTAAGGTGGCGGGCTCGACCAGTAGCAGTACCCTCTGCAGCGGCGGCGGAGTGAGCGCGACCCCGGCCGTATATAGTGAGGTACCTGGGCAGTAAGGTGGCGGGCTCGACCAGTAGCAGTACCCTCTGCAGCGGCGGCGGAGTGAGCGCGAGTCCGGCCGCGCCCGCACTCTGCAGTACGTGCCGCGCCGCCGCGCCGCGCCCGCACAGCGCGCCCAGCACGCACTCACTCTCCGCTGGGGATAACGGACTTATCACCATTTCATTCAACAGACGAAAAAAAAACATATCAACGTTCTATTTGTCGTTTCACGAAATTTTTTGTGTGTTCAAGGGGATCTGGGAATGGTTTTGATTCATAAACCAGCCCGGCAGATGGCGCTGCAGTCGATGTTTAGGTTATTTATCCTAAACAGCTGAACTAATTTGAATGAATTTTTGTTTATACATTCAAGTGGATATGCAGGACAACGTCTGTTGGGTTCGCTAGTAAGTATTATATGACAAATAAAACTTTGATATGATTTTTGTTGGGATAGAGTAGACCATCAGACAAGTTAATGGTTTTTTGCTATAGAATAAGGCGGCAAATGAAGCGTCTTTCCCATACAGATATACAGATTTCATACTCGTAAACAATCGACACCGCCCGTGGAGGCCTACAATACCAAGGACTCACAAGTGCGTAGTCGGCCATTTGGGGATTAAAGAATTGAAGATTGGGGGATTAGGGATTGGGTATTTGGGAATTGAGTATTTAGATTTGGAGTTGAGATATTTGGAGATTGAGAATTTGAAAATTGGATGGTTGGGAATTAGGAATTTGAAGATTGGGAATTTCGGGAGTGAGAAAAATCAGACCTTTAGTAACTTCACTCAAGCGCCGGTTGTTTCATTTCAGTTTTCTTTAAGCTCGTATTACCACTCCATCTAAATCAAGACGTTCGTGTCGATGCATAGATGTCTCAGATGTCTCAGATTTGTTTATAAAAAAAAATGATAATTTAATTACTCACTGTCATCAGCCAATGCGTAGTCGACGAGATGTCCCAGTATGGGCAGTGTGATGGCGTGCACTCCGCCCGCGTGGACGCACGCGTACGTGTTGTTCGTGCACTGGAACATTATGAAGAGAATATTATAGTAAGAAGAGGGGAATAACCAGCACTGAACAGAAATGGGCGCATGGTCATGACAAGATGAGTTTAGTTACATAATAAAAACAACTAGGACAGTAGATACTGTTTTTTTTAAGGGGGGAAAATCATCCAATGACTGCTCCCGTCTGGGTGAGGCGGGAGGGAGTGTCAGACTCTTACTGACTAAAACCACGCCGTTCCTACTCCTGCACGTCGAGCCGAAGCTCCGGTAATAAGGTTCTCCGCGACAGTAGATACTGTTTAGGTTTCAAATAACTTACTGATGTTTTTCGAATAGACAGTTACATTGATTATTAGCTAAATTTCTGATCAGTTGAATAATGGTTATGCAGGTTTTAGGTAAGGAAATCAATATTAAACTTCAATATAAAAGAAACTTTACCTGTTAGAATCAGTAAAGAATTTGCTGTTTGAGTGGTATCAAGTAATACATTTTAAAATGACAATCCTTACTAATATTATAAATCGGAAAGTGAGTTTGTTTGTTTAAAGTTATAAGTCCGGATTAAAAAATACCCTATTATTTAATTTTTACCCTTTACGTCTGCAAAAATTCAAATCAATCGGTTTAGTAGTTACGGCGTGAAAGCGGAACAAACAAACAAACAAACAAACTCACTTTCCGATTTATAATATTAGTAAGGATTTTTTATCATGGAAAAGTTTGATATTCCCGAGGGAAAACAAAAGTATTGGTATAGATGGCGCTGTGTATTGGTATATGTCACATAGGCTACTTTTTATCCTTTTGTGACGCTAGCGAAGCCGCGGGTAAAAGCTAGTTTTAGTATAAAACTTACAGGATACAAGTCGACAGGGTATGAGTAGGACTGCTCATCATCAGGGCTCAGGTTGACATTCAGTTCCACTGCTTCCACCACGTAGAGGGCGTGGGTGTCACCGTCTTCTTTCTCCGAAGGCTGCAATTTTATACGATTAATTAGAATGTTATTTTAATAGAAATTGGGCAAGCGAGTAGACGAATCACCCGATACTTATTCTTTTGAAAAGGATATACACTTATAATGCTTTTGACTATGACTTATGACTTCTCCCGCCTTGGGTTAGGCGAGATTTAGTGCTAGACTTGCAATAAGTCGATAAAGCAGCTCTCGGAGAGAAGAGTAACTCAACGTGGAGTGTTCAATTAGTGTATATTTATGTAGTCTCCATAGCAATAATCGCAGAAAACACATTACACTGTCTTTTACATTATTAGCTAATGACCCTAATTCGTACGTCAATATGCTACGGTAATTACTTTAAATGTAGCAGTGCAACAATGAATTGTGACATATACTAACTACATCTCCCCCGAAAAGAAACCCTCTGAAATAAAAACAAATGTATGACGTACGCACTCTCCTACTGACTAAAAATCATCCTATTCCTACTCCTGCCCATCGAGCCGGAGCCCCGGTAGTTCGTTAGTCCTTCCGCGGCTCCGTATCCAGGCATATGCCTACGGGATCCGCGGATTTGCAATATCCACGACGAATTCGATTCGAGATTTAGTTTACTTACATTAGGCAACAGCAGACAATGGTACAAGGCAGCTGAACAAGTGGCGACGACCACAAGAGGAGGGGTGTCTCCTCCTCCCAGAGCGGTGATGGAGCACGACTCCGAGCCGTAGTTGTCATCTGCCGGCGGATACATTGCGAGAGGACCCGACAATTTCGGTTGTAGGGGGCTGTAATCATTAAGAATTGTGTTAATATAGTTTAATAGATATGAAATTATATGCTTAAAACGCATCCAGGACACGAGTAAATCCTAGTGTGGGACAAGGTTTACCTAAAAAGAAAAATAGTTTATCCTTACTAATATTATAAATCGGAAAGTGAGTTTGTTTGTTTGTTCCACTTTCACGCCGTAACTACTAAACCGATTGCTTTGAATTTTTGCAGATGTGAAGGTAGAAGTCTGGATTAAATAATAGGGTACTTTTTATCCCGGAGAAAATTGATATTCTCGAGGGAAAACGAAATTATTGGTATAGATGGCGCTGTGTGTATTAGTATAAGTCACATAGGCTACTTTTTATCCTTTTGTGACGCTAGCGAAGCCGCGGGCAAAAGCTAGTAATTCTATAATTCTGTGACTGATGACAAAAAAAACATTAGCGTCGATCATCGTTTTTGATACGGTGTCCAATGAGTCAAAAAGGTCTCAGTAACAGCTCGTACAGTTCCCTGTTGGACTATGGGTCTCTTCTATCGAGGGTGTCCCTGGAAGTATGGATCAAATGGAACAGGGTATAGAGGAAAGAATATATTCTTCAACCTTTTACTCTGGGAATGTGGGTCCGATTCTTAACAGTTCAAAATTACGGCTTTTGTCCGTGACAAATAACAGTTCAAGTGGATGCCATCAAGCATCGTTGTGTTGTTAAAATCTGTAAAAGAAATCAATTAAATCTAGACTCTACACCTTACCTCTTACGTTCCAATTCACACTGCATCATATAGACGTCTCCATTCCCCCTCAGAATCAGTAGTGTTTCGCTATCAGGTATAGGAGTGAAGTCCACGGCAGTGTCTCCAAGACTGTCCAGTATGTTCCTACCAGCTAACTGGCTTGATGGTTTGATGCCAATGGTGAAACTTTGGACTAATTTGGGACCTTTTTTCAGGGCTATGTTGTAGAGTCTGTGAAGGAAAATGTTATTTTTTTCAGTGATGTCATGATGTGTACTTGTTTTAGAGTTACTTAACATGATAACCGCCGTGTAGGTTACCGGTGATTTGCCTTCAACAGTTTTCTGTTGGCAGTCAAAGGCTTAACAACTAAGACTTAAAATGCAAATCAAAGGGTGTTTTATCGATTTTCTTATTTGGCTATAAATTATTCGAATTTTTAAATAATCTCTCGCGTGTTTCTCGTACACACGAGTGTACGAAAGAGTTGAGTGCCCATTGCGCAATTGTACACACGGGTGTACGAGAAACGCGCACCGATTGGATATTTTTTCTGTGACGTATATTTTCAACTTTGCAGAATAGTTAATTCGCTTTTCTATCAAAATATTTACCCGTGTGTACGAGAACGCGCGTTTACCCGTGTGTACGAGAGGCGCGCGAGAGGTTAAAATGGCTTTATGTGAAGCTTACCTGATAGTGTTATCCGATCCCAATACGAACACGTGTGACAGTGACGCGGGATGCCAATGGACACGGCGTACCTCACCCTGGCAGTACAGGAATCGTTCGTCCAAGGAGTAACTCCTGTAAAAAGAAAAATAACATTTGTGATTTAAGGGCGAATTAATTATATCGACGGCGCTGTTGCAGTTAAAGGAGAACCGATGTGAAAACAAATTTTCTCATAAATCGGCTATAAACACAAAATACTGAATTTAAATTTTGAATCGGCCCTCTCTTACCTATAGTCATCCTTTTAATTTAAAGTTTTAAAAATTTAAAACCTTGGAATCTTATCATCATCAAACTCTTAAAGAGTTACTCTCTAAGACAAAAAGACAGAAGCTATTATGGAGAGTAAATTGTTCTTATGTGTGTATTTAAACATATGTATACTAAAAAAACACGCCGATAACATCGTGCGAAAAATGGTAACATCCATTACATCTATGATAAATAAGCGGTAAGACCTCGTGCCCTCACGTGGGCCTTCTAATAATTTGATTATTCGCCGGCCATTTTGTTTTTTCCTCTTTTTTGGCGGGAACGCGGTCTGGATTAATCGTGCGTTTAGAACTCGCCTTCTTGTCGGATTTACTTGTTTAATATTAAAATGGGGTCTGTGATTTCGAACTGAAGCCAAGGTGAAATATAAGGTAAAATGGACTACATTTTGCGGGCATATTTATGAAGCACATTTTTGTGGTTATTTAGGACATATTGAACGTTTTGTTGGACGGTTTTTGTTTAGAGAAAGTAATTGGATTTTGTGTACGTACCTACATAATTATAATCTAGAAAACATTTTAAGACTCCGAAGAGATAGATAGACTTAATGTGGTTCATTTGAGTCCGTTTACAAAAGATAATCAGTTTCTTAAGAAAGTGTGCCATATGCCACTCGCACAAAGTTACAAATGCCAGTGAGCACTGAGCAGTGTTTCAAAATGCATTTACTTCAGAATTACAATGTCTATCAATAGATCCCGCAGCAGTGGGGCACAGCGCATGCTACACGTCCAATTTGAGGCTAATCCCATTGTCCGGCACGTTCGGGATTCCGTTACATCAGCCTGTTCATTGTGCAACTTTGTATTCATTGTCAGTTGCTTTGAATTTTATGACTGCTTTTGATGTATTGTGGAGAAAACTATTGCGTTTTATTATGAATTATTTGTATTGATTCAGATGTCATAGTTCATTTTCTTTTGGATGTTTGTCTTCGTAGGAGTTTAAATTCAAACATTTCAGCTTAATTCAAACAAATAACTGGGAAAACAATGGAATACAATTAAAATTTCCCGTAAAAGAAAACTGTCGCTGGTCACAACCGAAATATAAATCAAACGATTTTTACATACCAAAGAAAAGGGTGGCCATTAGGCGGTCAACTAAAAAAATACACATACAGTGAAACGTAAAAATTACAAATGGGATGACATTAGAACAAACGGGGTATCCGACCCGGTCCGTAGTGTCTCCGGAACAAAAACCGATAAAAAACGGCGAAAAGGATCCGATCCGGTAAAAAATAAGAATCAGACAAAGCGGCCGGACGGCCGGTAACCTCTATACGTGTCCAGTTTTTTTTACGAGCACCCCGCAGCCCTTTTGTCCTTCCGGGAGGCCTTTTTTTAAATAGATCAGGGGCTGGCAAGTAAAGACCGCGGCCGACGTCCACCCTGAAATATTATTGTGGATTTTTCTGCTTGGCATTCATAAATATTTCCCAGGGAGAGGCCGCGCAACCCCCTCCGTCTACCCACTGTAGGGGATTTACTCGAATCGGCGTAGAATTATAAATTCGGTTAATAAAATATGATACGATAAAGCCGCTTTTTTCTCTGGCGGACCTCTATTATATTTTGTTTAATTTAAATATGAATAATTAATTTTAAAAAGGAAATCTCGGGGCTAATGAAATTTTTGTTTTCGAGATAATGAATTGAAAACACCGAGTGTCGCTCGCTCAGTGCTGTGTTATTCTTTTCTCGCTCATTCGGATTCATCCTTCGTAGTCTAAAAAATCCCTGGAAAATATTATATTTTTAAAATGTATTAATTATGAATACGAATTATATTTTTTCCATGTTTATCTGACCCTTTATACTATCGTGGGGTCCTACACGCGCGAATTGTGTTTTTAAGGCCTACACAGTAATTAGAATTAATTAATTTTTTATAACGCGAAGTGAAATTAGAAAATTTCAGTATTTTCAGAGGCCAGTTAAAGTTAGGGCTCGTTATGTCAACAATGAACTACTTTCATAACGGCCTCATCGCTCGTAAAGGCTGTGGAACAGGTAGTCACGACATATCACACTTTTAATATTCTACACTCATCCAAATTGTCGGACATAAGTAAAGAGAACAAAAAGAGAGTGCGGTCGAGACATGGGTCCCCGAAACCTCGAACAACGCCTTTAATCAACACAAACGCACCCGGCGATCAAACGGCCGAGAATAAAAAAAAAGCATCGATCCAGTCTGCCACAACCACAAGGGATTAAAATCGTAACGAACGTATAAAAATATTCAAATACAATACTAACAAATTGATACAAACACTCATTAGGTGCGGATCGCGGAAGGCGCCCCCCGGTGGGGTGCTTGTGGGCCCCCGCCGGCCGATCTCTACCGACATTACAATCCACATCCAGCGTACAAATATTATCTAAAATTCCTTCTCATTTATAATCCTTTTGTGTCCTCAGCGCGATGTCCTCCGTCAAATCCCCCCACTCCCCACAGGGGTCGGGTGGGGGTATTTTTATATTTTTAATCGCGTTGGGCATTATCCAAATGGACATTGGCGGGTGCGCCGACTGCCGGTGCCGTCTAGATGATAAATTCTCCTTTCGTTCGACACCGGGCGCAATGTTTTGTTTTGTCCCTTCAGTAATGTCTCCTTTATTGGTATCGGAGTGAAAAAAAAATACCCTCATAGTCATTAATTACAGTAGATTTGTCTGTTGGTGACTGGCGAGTTCTTGGCGACTATTAAAAATGTTCCACCATCTGTGGCTTCTCGTCGGCTGATTTTTTCGGCGTCTCGGCAAATGAGGATTGATTGTAGCAATCGTTTGATGCAGATTCTTATTGAATGCGATGACGGTTTCGTCCGTGATCGATGGTCTGCCTTTGTGGCCACAATTAGGTTACAATTTTTTCGTGACTGAATAAAAGGAAGACAGATTGCGTTAGATCAAATTAGGGAGTCAAATATTTAAGTCATTTTTCTTAAACAGTAAAATGTTCTTTGGAAATTGTTCTGCTCTTACGAACTTAATATTTTGCATTAGTTTAGAAGTTAACAATTTAAGTGTAATACCAACTTCTCCCTAGTCTATGGAGCTAAAACCGTTAATCCGTATTTTAATCAATGTTCAAACGCTAACAAATGATCAGCAAAAATTCGTTCAAAAACCAGCCAGCTACGGAATCGTGAACGTACATAAATTTAGGTGCCGTACAACCGGGTCCCACGACGGCTCGGCCCAAAGTTTCACACCATTAATTCTTGCGCGCAGTCCACTGCACTTTTTCCATCGTCCCTCAAAAAGTTCCACATAAAAAAGAATCGCTTTTCTATATGCAAAACAGGGCACTGTGTTCATACCGCCGTTATAATAGGGATCATCTATACAATATCAATTTCATCTAATATATTGGGGTATTTTTATGTTTTATTGGAGCCAGGATTTTGGTCCCATTAAACTTTTTTTTTCGAATTTTATGTTACGGAAGATATTGCTCTTCTTGTTTGGGCTTTTAAAATGGGGTGGGTTTGTGTAATGTATTGTTTTTTGAGTTATGTTTTAAGTTATAGGAAAGTAATCCAAGTGGTTTTGTTCCGAGTGATATTAAGAATATTTGTAGCGAAAATATTACCAAAATGGCCATTAAAATACAATATAAATGAAATTGTTTTCGTTTCTCTCAAAAGGGGAACTGAAAAGTCTAAAAGACACACATGCAAGAAAAAGCCAATTAATCAGCGGCATTGAAGTGGAAATGAACAACTAAGTTCAGACCATCATTGTCATTTTCTAGTAGACTTAAGAAGTCATCGGTTGTATCACACAAAAATATATCCCAGATGAAATAAATACCTACAGCTAACTTTAAGATCCTTGAATGAACTGACTTCTCGCCTTCAATGAATAAACAAATGAATGAAAGATAATTAGGCCTCAGCATCACGGTGCAAATGAGGTAATAGGAAACCCTTTACTGAATAATATAGTCTATGGTAATGATGATGGCTGGGATCTGACATAATTGACCCAAATCGGGCTCATTAATGATATTAATTAGGGCTTTCTTGTCGATTCTTTAACATAGGTTAAAGTACTGATGACGTTTAGTGGAAAATAGCTTTTTAAGGTTAAAAGGACACGCTATAGTGTGACATTGGTCAAGTTCTTAGAAGATTTTCTACCCTGTTTCTCGTTCTCACGCCATAACTTAAAAACGGTTAGACCGATTTGGGTGAATTTTTTTTGTTGTGTCTGTTATTGTCAGGAGAAGGTTCTTATGACAGAAAAAAATCGTGGAAATCCTACGGGAACGAGAGAAAACGGGATTGCGCGTACAAATTCGCGGACAGAAGCTAGTTCTTGATAATGATTCGTCGAATCGATCAGTTTGATTTCCTTACCAATGTACCTAATGTACTGAAATTTGCATAATCATCTTTTTCATCAACAACGAACACGAGCCTCTACTAATTCTAATTATACAAGAATTTGGGGAGCCCAATTACCCTCCTCTTCCCCAATCTCCCCAATCCCTGAATCCCCAACGATCCTCAAACTCCTAATCTCCAAAAAGACGATAACGCACTTGTAACGCCTCTGGTGTTCCAGGTGTCTATGGGCGACGCCGATTGCTTACCATCAGGTGATCCGTCTGCTCGTCTACCGGCTTATGCCATAAAAAAGACCCATATTCAGTAGTGGACTTGTTATGGTGCCATAAGTGCCCCTACTGCACTGAGGATTGCATCCTCATTTAAAAATCAGTCATAATCTCAATCATTATTTCAATCAGATCCCCAACTCAACGGTTGTCAAATCACTCGA